ATCTCGTAATCTCTGTTTTGGATTAAAGTTTCAAAGTACGAAAGTCAGAGATTCTGGTCCTGGGAAAGAGCGAGTCGACCACGTAGACCTATCACCGTCCTGCGCGCCTCACCCTTTGTTTACATTAAGTACCTGTCAGGTGACCGCTCGAGCGAGGCCGGCAGAGAACGACGGTCGAGGCTTTTTACCTTCACCCGTCCACGAGGTCCAGGATGACCGAGACTTAACTCCTCACTATTCACGTAAACTGAAAAATACCTTAAAACACCAATTATAAGGTTAACAGACGTAACTCATATAAAAAAGGAGTATTTATAGATAATTTATCAAATGCAGACGACTTGGAAGAGTAAAGCACTGTTGGTTCGTCTGCTAGAAGTGATAATGTACACAGTTGGTGACACGACCCCCTCCCTCTCTCCCCCTATAGATAGCACTGTCCTTTAACAATGACGTGAATAACTAGTGGCCCTAATTACGTATTTTTGTACTTCTTTGGTCTATTGTCCTCGTGTTGCTGCCAAATAAAACATCCCACTTTCAATCAGCAGCCTTGAATAGCTGTCGGTCTGCTCTGTTGATCCGTCGTATCCAACACCCACACAACTGACCATTAAATAACCTTGATTAAGGATGTCATTACCGGGACTAAAAGAAACATTGCCACGATTAAATCTTCTCAAGGAGGGAGGAGACGCTGAGACGCACCTTAAGAAAGACGAAAGTAAAACAAAAACAAGGTATAAACATTGTTACCGTTGGATGTTACACGATATTGTAAATTACTCAAATAACGTTGGGATAAATCTTGTGTGAACCGACCATCTTGGATGTTTATCAGCGTGTCCTAGACTTCTCAGTGTGTCCTAGACCTTTCAGTGTGTCCCAAAACTCTCCAGCATAGCACAGAGGACTCCAACGCACGCCAAAAGCTACTCTGCATGTCCTTAATCTTCCCCAGCACGACCTAGAGCTTATCAGCATACACTTGAGCCCCAAAGCATATCTTATAGGTTTTCAAAATTTATGTTAATGTTTTTTTAAAGTCCACAGCATGTCGAAAACCTCCTTGCATGTCCCAAAACTTCCCATGATGTCCCAAAACCTCCCATGATGTCCCAAAACTTTCCGTGATGTCCTAAAACCTCCCATGATGTTCTAAATCCTTCTATGATAGGGGTTGGGTGTAAATGGGACTGCCCAGTATGGGTCAATAGGCCCGCTGCAGCTTCCTCTATTCTTATGTTTTTATGATGTTCCAAAACCACCCATGATGCCCCAAAATCTCTCATGATGTCCCAAATCCTTCCAGGATGTCCCCAAATCTCCCATGATGTCCCAAATCCTTTCATGATGTCCCAAAACCTCCCATGATGCCTCAAAACCACCCACAATGTCCCTTAACCTTTGAGAAAATTCCAAAACATCCTCAACATGCCCTCACGACTTCCTAAAGTGTCTACTATAGGTTTCTGCCAGAATTTTTCCCTGTAGTTATAGAACCTTCTGCTGCGCCTCCTCCATGACTGGAGGCTGCCCAGCTCGTCTTCAAATATGAATATCATCTGGAGAATCAATTAGCAGGTGCCCCAGGGTGAGGACACTGCTAACGAGGCAATGAGGGCTAGGTGACAGGTGAAACTCGAGTAATTGCAGATAGGTTTTTGCAGGCGAGTCATTGGGTCATCCAGGTCTCACGAACTCACCTGTCCTCTTTTTTGTGCAGTGAGAGGCTCCGAGAGTACTAATAATAGTAAAATGATACTACTACTACTACTTTTTTTTTATAAAGTGGCCTCCAGCCTCCCTCAATAGCCACACCTTCGCCGCCATTTTATTACCTTAATATTAAATATCCTAATACATAAGTAGCTATCCTATCTGTGTTGAATTAGTTGAGCCGCATATCTATGCGGCCTACTACTAGTACTGATGGTGGTAATGACAACAACAACGATAATAATAATAATAATAATAATAATAATAATAATAATAATAATAATAATAATAATAATAATAATAATAATAATAATAATAATAATAATAATGTCAGTTATTAAACACAGCGACGCCTGACTAAATAAGATACCTTGACCAAAATAATATTAATGAACAGTTATAATCTTCTTGCACGAAAATTAACTTCCTAGATCCTTTAGTGTTGGAAATGTTAATAATAATTTACGTAGATACATTATATACATTAACTGTGCTGGATGATGAGTTGGTGATGGGGAGGAAGGGGAGATGTGACACTGTTTATTTACATTTGACGGTGGATGAAACGAACCTAACCTAACCTAACCTAACCTATCCTAACCTAACAGCAATAATGTTAAGAAATAATAATAAAGAGAGCAATACCTTAAACAAGAGGGGTAATAAGCGGCCACCCAGAATGACCCCGTAAATCCCGACCAATCACAGCTTCCGCCAGCCGCTATTGGTAACTGAATGGAATTATATTGTCTGTTCCACCGAGATGATCGATAGGTCAGGCTCCGAGGCGACAACCTGATGGAACGTGAGGGAGGAACGGTGGAGTTTGGTGGTGGGGGTGGAGTATAGTGGTGGGGTGTAGTGGTGGAGGTGGGTGATAGTGGTGGTGGAGGGTGGAGAAGGATTGTGGTGGAGTTGACCGATTGTGGTGTTGCAGGTAATAGAGTGTGGTGATGGAGGGTGGAAGAGTATAGTGGTGGAGATGGATGAGGGTAATGGTGGAGGTGGATGAGGGTAGTGGTGGAGGTGGATGAGGGTAGTGGTGGAGGTGGATGAGGGTAGTGGTGGAGGTGGATAAGGGTAGTGTGGTGGAGGTGGATGAGGGTAGATGGAGGAGATGGATGAGGGTGGTGGAGGTGGATGAGGGTAGTGGAGGTGGATGAGGTTAGTGGTGGAGGTGATGGTTAGTGGTGGAGGTGGATGAGGGTAGGTGGAGGTGGATGGTGAGATGGATGAGGGAGTGGTGGAGGTGGATAGTGGTGGAGATGAGGGGTGGGGAGATGGATGAGGGTAGTGGTGGAGATGGATGGGGTAGTGGTGGATGGATGAGGGGTAGTGGTGGAGAGATGGATGAGGAGGGATGAGTGGTGGATGGATGGCTGGTGGTGGAGGTGGATGAGGGTGGTGGTGGAGGTGAGGAAAACATGATAACAAAAGAAAAGCAAGACGTGATAACAGGGGGAGGAGGAGGAGGAGGAAACAGCACGTACTGAGTCTCTCCCTTAGTGTCATGGTCAGAAGAGGAAGAGGGGAGAGGAAGGTCACTTGGGTTAATGAGAAGGAGGAGGAAGAGAAGGAGAGGGAGGAGAAAGAAAAGAATGAGAGGGTGGAGGAGGAAGAAGAGAAGGGGGAGGATGAAGGAAAGGAGAGGGAGGGGGAAGAGGAGCAGGAGGGGAAGAGAAGAGAAGAAGAAGAAGGAGGAGGACTGTCATCTATGTAAGCTCCTGTATTGTTGTTTACGTATAAGACAATATCAGGTGAGTAGATCTAATTACCTGGACATAAGTCATTCACGCCACTTAGTACCGATTAGTGTCAGGTAAAGTGTGTCTACATAAATAAGGGGTTTGGTCTAATGAACACACACACACACACACACCGTGATGTACATTTATCTCTTGTCAGTTTTAAGTAACATATGGCAAATGCTTGAGTAGTGTTCCAAGGTGCTTACGGAGATGAACAACTGTCTCCTACCGTCTCCTACCGTCTCCTATGTCTGTTTGTCTGTCTGTGTGGATGAGTCATGGTTCTATCTAAAAAAAAATACCTTGCCTCGATTTGACCAACCTTACTGTAGTGTCAATCTATCTAAGTCCTTTCTGGTCTAGATACACCCATGTGTTTGTGTCTGTGTGTGTACCGGTGTATTATGTATATGTGTGTGTGTGTGTGTGTGTGTACCTGTGTCTGTCTGTATGTACGTGTTTCTGTGTGTGTGTGCATCTGTGTGTTTATGGCTATCTGCCTGTGTCTATTTCTCTGAGGTTTATGTCCATGTCTCAGTATGGCTGCACCTGTGTGTCTATATGCGGTCACCTGTGTCTGGTTAATCTAGTAAAGCATACACAGTTTACGACTCCATTAACATAATTTAATGGCCAGTCTCCCCAATTATCATCCAGGTATCATAATTAACCTCAATTATCATCCAGGTTTAATAATTAACCTCAATTATCATCCAGGTATCATATAATTATTTTTAGTATCAACTTACTATAAATATATTGTGTGGGAAGGAATCTATCATACGCCTTCCCAAGTCCCATATTTACCTGTGGCAATTCTATTCAATACCTGTAATTTCACTTTTTGTTTTATTTTTTTAGTCTCTTCCTCTTGTTATTGTCTGACTGTGTGTGTGTGTGTGTGTGTGTGTGTGTGTGTGTGTGTGTGTGTGTGTGTGTGTGTGTGTGTGTGTGTAAATTAAGAGGTTTGTGTGGTGTGTGTGTTTTTGTGTTTGTTTCTTGTATAGATTTTTAAAGATAAGTAAGTTTTTTAGGTAACATACATACATACATACATACATACATACATACATACATACATACATACATTCATACATACGGGTATTCATTTAATGTATACGTCATTACGAACCCCCCATTTATTAACTATTTAATATTTAACCTCCCAATTACACTCTGCCCAATTACACACCATCCAATTATGACCAACCAATTACACTCCGCCCAATTACGCGTCACTCAATTAAAAATCACCTATTACAAGTCCCCCCAATTATGAAGTAACTAATTACGAGTTACTTCAAGATGGTGGTAATATCCGCCAGGTGAGGTAGTTCCGTCATGCTAATTAGTTGTGGTTAGACGACTATCACAGAGTACTTGTCGCGAGATGAGGAACAGTGCCCCTTATTTATCGCCAGTACTGCACCTTAGTTACTGCTGCAATAACCTATCCTATACCCTTTGATTATCGCCAGCATTTTTTTTTTTACCAGAGCCAAAATTAGAACACCTTCTCTTATGTACTGGGAGATAGTGATGATGATGATGATGATAGTGATGATGATGATAGTGATGATGATGATGATAATGATGATGATGATGATAGTGATGATGATAGTGATGATGATGATGATAATGATGATGATGATAGTGATGATGATAGTGATGATGATGATGATGATAGTGATGATGATGATGATAATGATGATGATGATAGTGATGATGATGATGATAGTGATGATGATGATGATAATGATGATGATGATAGTGATGATGATGATGATGATAGTGATGATGATGATGATAGTGATGATGATGATGATAGTGATGATGATGATGATGATAATGACGATAACAGGACTCGAGAATATCAATTAACTCTTATGTAATTTGTATCACGTTTGAACCACTTCATTAATAACATAATGACCTTTAAGTAACATCTTACTGTATCATCAATGTTGAAACACGTCTTAGGTATCATAGTCATTATATTTATTGATGGTCTTAATTAAAGGTGTTACGTAACATTATTAGTCATATTACGTAACGTTATGAGTCATATTGTGTAACACCTAGATAATATTAAGTATTAAAATAGGTGTAGATATGTAGATTCTGATAGATATGTACAAACTTATGCACTCTATATGTGTTATGTCAGTGTAGTTGTTACATATATTGACGGAAGTGGTGCAGAAGTGAGGGAGAGAGAGAGAGAGTGAAGGAGAGAGAGTTATAGGGGTTGTGAATAGTGATATGAGATGTAAATACAAGGTGAGTCAGCTGATGTAGGCAGATGACACTGTTTAACTGGTTGATAGTACAGTAACGTTACGCGGTGTGAGTAAATAAGTGTGAAAGAATGTGTCGTCGTAGAGACATGAAAGCGAATGTGAATAAAACGGATAAAAACATAACAAGAGAGAAGAAATAGACACATAGAGAGAGACACAGAGACACACGGACACACAAACAAACATAACATCGTGAACACAACAACGTGATGGTCCATCTAACAGTTAGTATGGCATACAGTTACTTCTCTCTCACCTCCATCACTCAACCAGTCAGCGTCACACTCCACAACACAGGCACCCTCATGACTGACTGGCACCTCCATGACTGACTGGCACTGGCACTTCATGAAACACTGGTGGACACTGGCACCTCATGACACACTGGTGGACACTGGCACCCCATGACACGCAGACAGACAATGGCACCTCATGACACACTGATAAACACTGGCACCTCATGACACACAGACACTGGCACCTCATGACACACTGGTGGACACTGGCACCTCATGACACACTGACAGACACTGGCACCCCATGCCACGCAGACAGACAATGGCTCCTCATGACACACTGATAGACACTGGCACCTCATGACACACTGATAGACACTGGTACTGACATACAGACACTGGCACCTCATGACTGATAGACACTACAGACACTGGCACCTCATGACAGACACTGGCACCTCATGACACACTGATAGACACTGGCACCCCATGACACACTGACAGACACTGGCACCCCATGACACACTGACAGACACTGGCACCTCATGACACAGACACTGGCACCTCATGACACACTGATAGACACTGGCACCTCATGACACACAGACACTGGCACCCATGACACACTGACACTGGCATAAAGACACTGGCACCCCATGACACACTGACAGCCTCATGACACACTGACAGACACTGGCACCCCATGACACTGACAGACACTGCATGACACACTGATAGACACTGGCACCTCGCGGCACACTGACAGACACTGGCACCCATGACACACTGACAGACACTGGCACCCCATGACACACTGACACTGGCACATGACACACTGATAGACACTGGCACCCCATGACACACTGACAGACACTGGCACCCACACTGACAGACACTGACAGACACTGGCACCCCATGACACACTGACAGACACTGGCACCCCATGACACACTGAGACACTGGCACCCCATGACACACTGACAGACACTGGCACCCCATGACACACTGACAGACACTGGCACCCCATGACACACTGACAGACACTGGCACCTCATGACACACTGACAGACACTGGCACCTCATGACACACTGATACTCCACCGTTAACAACACCTCCTTACACAAACTGCCTCGTAATTTCACACCCCAATTGGATCAGTCTTATAGCCAATCTGTCTGTGTCATTATCTATATCAATCTATCTATCTATCTGTGCTACCAGTCAGAAATACAATACTATAGTACAGTATCCCAGTCACTTAAGTACTCCCACTCTAATCTGACTGTACACTAACAGTTACAGTGATCATCAACCCCTGTATTAACGGGAAAGACTGTTTACCTGGTGTACTCTTTACCTGTTAAAAATAATTCGTTTGAGGTATATTTCAATTTTAAAATATTCCCTTTCTATTCCAAGTGTAATATTCCAGGTGTAAGATTCCAGTTGTCAATATTCCAATCATAAAATATTCGGTAAAAAAATACATCACATCTAATTTATCAATATTTTATTTTATTTTTCGTGCATCAAGAGAAAAATAATTAAGTAAAATGATTCAACGCAAATAAGAAAAAATCGTGTATTTTTTGGTTTAATTATTTATTTATTTTTATATATTTTTTTTTTACATTCTGCATATAAGGAGATACGAGCCGGCAACCCTCACTCCAGGCGGGGAATTTACCGCCGGGGGAATGAAAAATTATATAATTAAATAATTCCTAATTTTCCAGAGTTAATTAGTTTGGTAAATGATTAGTAGAATAGAAAGATTTATTTATTAGTAAAGTATTAATTATAGGTTAGGTTAGGTTAGGTTAGGTAAGGTTAGGTTGTTTGAGTTTAGTTTTTAGAGGAAATTAAAAGAAAATCTGTGCGAATTTATTTATTTATTTTTTTTTAATTTACTGGAATAAAGATGACCTCTTCTATAATAATAATAATAATAATAATAATAATAACAATAATAATAATAATAATAATAACAATAATAATAATTACAAAAATAATATGAGTAGTAAGAACAATAACAAAAGTAATAATAATAAGAACAACAACAACAATAATAATAAAAATAATAATAATAATAATAATGATAATAATAATAATCTAAACTATACCAGGCCTTAGGTAAACCATTACTTAATTATCCCAGGTACAGGTAGATAGGAATTTCCGGCTGGCCATCCTATACTAGCAGCTGGCGGAAGTTGTCCAGTCCCGTTACGTTGTCCTTGCCCTTGTGTTCCGTGGCTCCTTATGTTCCGTGGCTCCATGCGTTTGTGTTCCGTGGTTCCATGCCCCTGTGTAAGTTGTGTTCCATCGCTCCCTGCCCCTTTGTTCCGTGGATTATTGCTCTTGTGTTCCGTGGGCTATTGCCCTTGTGTTCCGTGGTTCCTTGCCCCTGTGTAAGTTGTGTTCTATGGCTTATTGCACCTTTGTTTCGTGGATTATTGCCTTTGTGTTCCGTGGCTTATTGCCCTTGTGTTCCGTGGCTTATTGCCCTTGTGTTCCTTGGCCTTGTGTTCCATGGCTCCGTGGCCTTGTGTTCCATGGCTCCTTGGCCTTGTGTTCCATGGCTCCGTGGCCTTGTGTTCCATGGCTCCGTGGCCTTGTGTTCCATGGCTCCTTGGCCTTGTGTTCCATGGCTCCCCTTGGCCTTGTGTTCCATGGCTCCGTGGCCTTGTGTTCCATGGCTCCGTGGCCTTGTGTTCCATCCCTTGGCCTTGTGTTCCATGGCTCCTTGGCCTTGTGTTCCATGGCTCCTTGGCCTTGTGTTCCATGGCTCCTTGGCCTTGTGTTCCATGGCTCCTTGGCTTTGTGTTTCATGGTTCCTTGGCCTTGTGTTCCATGGCTCCTTGGCCTTGTGTTCCATGGCTCCTTGGCACCGCCCTCAAAGCCCAAAGGCATATTAAGAAGCCTTTTTCCATGCCATTTTTTTATTATTGTTCAGCTATTTATAATAATATTGACAAACTCTAAATTTAGAGCACCAAATTATAAGTAAGGTGTAATATATGGAGTAATACTAACATCAAGAGCAACATTCCTACGCCGTGACAGTCAGAAGTCGACTGCCGGGTCTGATCTTAGAGTAGCGCCATTGGTTCTCCCTCGCGGTGCACACTTACCATGTAGTGTTTTTCTAAGTATTCGATTATATCAGAGTTTCATTTTGCTACTGTACGTAATTTTATCATTTTATGTTATGTATGTTCATATTTTACGGATTTAGTTCTTTATTGATGGTATTTAAAGTTGTTTTATAGGGAGAAATAATGTTTGGTTATATTAGTATGTGGAAACTGTTCCCTGTCAGCCTACGACCGCTATCTTCCTTCTTGGGGTGAATGGCCCGTGCGTGACACCAACATACGATACTGTGTGAGATCTTTAAGGTCTAGTTTACCTACAGTTGTGAGAACAGAATCACCCTTACGTCTCGGCGCTATTCCTTCATGATCAAGTTCAAGTGGTAGCGAGCTCCGCGGAAGAAGGGCGTGGAAGTTGTTCAAACGCTATGGGGTTTAGGTGGTCTGCTGTGCCCTTGTGGTTTGGTGGTCACGCAGAAGAGGAGGGGTTTGTGGCCAGGCTGTGAGTTCGTTCGTCAGTGCCTGCAGGAGGGGGGCGGCGCCGAAGACATTATGAGGCACAGACGCGAGGCAGAGAACTTCAGTTGAGTGTGCAGTGCCGTGGTGGACGGTTCAGATACACAGGCAGGCAAATCAGGCAGGCACACGGCTCCTCACCACACACAAGTGATCCAGTAGTCTGCGTTTTTTGGACTTTGTTTTTCTTTCCACCAAACGTCACCCACCAGCCTACGTCCCATCAGTGATCCTCAAGAACAGTGACTCGTGTGTGACAAGTGACCAGCAGTGACCGTGACCAGTGCCAGTGTCAAGTTTATCAGAGGTAAGAAACGCGTTGGACATTACAGCCACTTAGAAAAAAAAATAGATTCCTTATATTCCTTTCACAAGTATACGGAGGATTATTTCTCGTGTGTTATCTCATCTCAAGGTAACATATATATCACACACACACTCTTGGTAATACCGTGACCTTAACTACTGAACTATTCACTAAGATCACCAGCGGGAGAATCACCAACACGTCATGTACTTGGTGACTTCGACGTGATCTGAAGTAGTTATCCTGACTCGCTAAACGCCATGTCTTATACTCCCGTTACACTAAAGATCCCGTCCAGTAAACTAAGTGGTTCTAAGACAACAAACCAATATAGTTATTGTGTTTTGTATTAAATTGTCAATATTTCCGTCAGAGTATTGGAAAATCTTTTAGTTTGATGTAAAAATTATCACTACCTCCCATTCGATTTGTATATATATGAAATAACTAAATTTTCTTCTACTACTACGATTTCCTTTGCTATGGTTGTACGAGAGTTAGTATGTTTCTTGATCTTTTTTGTAGTTTAACGTGTAGCTAAATCATTATCTTCGCTTTACGATATCAGATAAAAACTAGTTCATTTTCCCCTGTACTATGGAGAGGTTAGTTGAGGCATCGTAAATAAAAAAACTTTACTCAGTCTTGTTAACCTTCGGGTCACACTCAGATAAATCAATCCCAGGTTAAAATTCAACAATAAACTCTTAAAGTCCCATATATGATTCACCCGAAGTATCCAATACCTTAAGACAGATTCTAAACCTTTAATTGATAACTGTAAGAAGTGGTTTGGGTACTTATTTGTGTACAGTGAAACCTCCTTATAACGGACTTCTTCATCTGCTATATGGAGGGTTTTACATCTAACGGACCATCGATATAATGGTCTTTCCTTTCCATATTGTCCGTTAAATAAAGGTTTTATTATACTACGTTATAACGGTCACCACTTTACGACCATGTTGGGACGGAGATGGTTAACTTGGGGGTGTGTAAAACAGGTCTGGGTAAGGTCAGTCTGTGTAGAGCCTGGAGTGTGGGGCAGTGGGCAAGCAAGGTGAGGGCAGCAGAGGAGGAGGAGGAGGAGGATTTGTACAAGGCCAGGTTGAGTGGGTACAAGATAGCCCCACCCAAGGGACCGGTTTGTGACTAAGTTCACAAAGTCATATCGCTTGTCACGCTTATTTGAGTTCCTTCTCCCACTGTGTTACACCTCTCTCTCTCTCTCTCTCTCTCTCTCTCTCTCTCTGTGGTTTTAGATCTGTTAGTCTGTTACGTTATACTTACGTCAGTCTGTCATGCGTTACTAGTTCCCCCCCTCCCCCTCTCCTCTCCTCTCCTCTCCTCTCCTGTCCTCAGTCTTAAAGGTTGAATGATAAGCAGTGAGGAAGTGAGAAGGATGAGGAAAAGGGGAGGATGTGGCGAATAAGGAGTGGAGGAAGAAGAGAACAGAAGGAAGGGCGGAGGTGGAGACGATGTCATTTTAAATCATCAGATGTGAATTAATATCCAAATAAAAATTTTAATTACATCCACATTTGAGGGCGAGTTATGAGTCCTCCCCTGAACACGGCCAAGGCCTAATTCCTCCCTTGAACATGTCAAACCGCAAGACCCTCCCCAAAATACATGCTAAAATCGGTTCTCCAAATACAGTTATGTCTTCTAACTTAACTTGAACACGTCTGAGTTAAACTGTCCTGCTTTTAATACGGTAAAAATCTAATTCTCCCTGTGAACGCGGTCAGTGTGTGTGTGTGTACGTCCACCAGCAGTACCCGTTAGGTGCGTGTTTAATGACGTGGTTTGGGTGGGAGGGAAGGATGGTGGGTGTCCTCAATCCTCACCACCTCCTTAGGGTAAAGTTTTCCTGGCCAGGTAACGGGGCGGAAGAAGTACAGTATGTCAGCCGGGTCGCACAGGTAACTTCTTCACTCCCTCCCTCCCTCCCTGACCGACCCGCGTGTTTCAAGGGGTGAGGAAGGGCATGCCTGAACCAAGAGGAGGTAGAGGGAAGGAATGTAGGAGGGAGAAAAGGGAATGTGTCAGGTAGGGAGGGTAGAAAGGTGAGAGAGGTGCACGATGGTGATGAAACAATATAATCCTGTACAGTACACCAGATAACATTCCTACAACACATAACCAAAACAATTAGTGGAACTTAGAGCCGACAACAACCACCATTCCCCCCTTGCTACCACTCCCACCCACAAACACCACCCCTCTCTCGCTCCCATCACCACTGCCCACAACATCCAACCCACTACCTCGCTACCACCACCACTACCACTACCACCACCATCATCAAATTGTAGCAACGATCACTAACGACGTCAATAAACACACGTAAGAACACCTCCTGCAGGATGTGGTGGACCCCCCGCCAGCATCGTAAAACAAGGCACCTGATGCCTCTCCCAGAGTCCTTCACGGGTGGTCTAGGACGTAAAGTATTGTAGAAAGGGATGTACCTGTATCTCAACCTTCACGACGTCCACTAGGGTTGAGGGGGACCGGATGTCACGGCCGAGGGACAAAGGGGAGCCGAGATTTGTGTTGTTCTGTTTTGACCAGGGAAGTGTTCAGGTCCCAAGGGCGACATCCCGTGTCAGGGTTAAGTAAACAACAGGGTGCTGATTCATGTGGCCGCTGTAACGCTCGTGGTGTTGTAAATTCCTCCTTCTCCTCCTCCACATCTTATTCTGATTTACATTTACCTTTTATCTCTACCATGATCTCTTAAGCACAAAACAAAAATAAAATCGTTTTCTTTCTAGTTCTCATTTACGTCAAGAGTAAATCTGGTATTTTCTTAACTGTAAATGTAAAAAATATATCGTCATTCACACGATAATTACAATTTATTTTTATTGATACATTTTTTTACTTCAAATAATAATATTGTTCATCTTTTAAACCAGAACCATAAAATGTCTGTCTGTATTTTTGTTTCCATATATTGATAAAGAAAAAAACAAATACATAAGATAATTAGTTTCTAGATTAATAGGAGTCAATAGCATAATTATTATACCTTAAAACACGTGAATTGTTGCAATACGTCATCTTCGCAGTTATAGTTGGAAGCTTTGTGGTCTAAGCTAATAACAGGTTGTTGGTTCATTACGGGCTGGCCAGTTGGTGGACCATCTGTCTGGTTGTTAGCACACACACACACACACACCTTAACCTACGTCAGCGTTAACCTCAGTCTTCGTCAGCGTCTTCTGCGGTGTAACTAGTGTCTTATGGTTCATTACTCCTCAAAGATGGTATTCATTATCTCTCTTTCCGTTTTCCTTTTCTGTCTCTTATTTGTTATTGTCTCTTCTTGTTTTCTTTATCTATTCTTATTCCTTTATCTACCTTCAGTTTTTCCTCATTGTCTTTTTTCTTTCGGCTCTCTCTCTCTCTCTCTCTCTCTCTCTCTCTCTCTCTCTCTCTCTCTCTCTCTCTCTCTCTCTCTCTCTCTCTCTCTCTCTCATATCAGGAGCGAACACGATAGTAAAAGTATTCTTGAAGACGTAGCTGATGAGAGGCCAAGCACCGGTGTTGTGGGCGGCGTCAATCATTTACACCTGCTTCTGTGCCTTCGTCAGTAGCTCCTAACACCGGCGGCACGAGGGCTGATACCGTAGTTTATGTGATAGATACAGAGACACACTGACTAAGATACAAGTATGCCTATACACATGACACACAGTACACACACACGTGCACTACACACACACACACACACACACACGTCCCCCCCCCCCCCCTCCAATACTACCGTTACCTACACCGCCGTGGTTAGGAGGCAGATGCTCTCGGGGTCTACAGACCAAACACCTTTCTTCCGTGTCCATGTCTGCCGCGTGATAATGGCAGTCCACGTCCACGCTGTCCACTGCCATTTACTACCACTTACCACCACCCGATGTGACGACTTCCGGGACACCTCTGAGGATTTATAAAAGTAAAGCAAATAACATAACACTTTGTATCTGCCAACAACTACTGGTAATTTGATCGTTAAGTGTCGGGAATAACACACGTGGGGCTGTAATGTCTGTCTTTACCCGAGTCACTGTTTGGTTACAGTGAGTCTTTAGGTTCGGGTACCTCCAGCTTCTTTATATCTCGGAGTTGCTTTTTTTTGTTAGTTGTGATTGAAGAGGTGATTTATATATATATATATATATATATATATATATATATATATATATATATATATATATATATATATATATATATATATATATATATATATATATATATATTTGTGGTTTTCTATATAGTACATCGTCCTTTATATAATGGCCGTAGTTTAAGAAATAATTTATATATATATATTTCTTGTTTTATATACATCGTTTCCTTTTATCGTGACTAGAAACATTATAATTTTTCACAACTATTCACATGATGAGTAATAATTATCCTCACAGACACAGACACACACACACACACACACAACTACAAATACACGTCTTTGTTCAGTAAACACAAACAAAAACAATACTCCATCGTTACATCACTAAATAAACAAGTATAGGAATAAGTATAAGAAATGCAACTCATATATATTAAAGAAAAAGTCAATATATTCTAATTTGTGAAAGATGTTGTCGAGTGTTGAAAGCTAGACAGTGTTGTGTGTTTAAGGTCCTTGGCTGGTTACACGTTGATGCATCGTAACTAACAGAAACAACACAAATTCTTTCATCATTTCATTTTAAAGTTTAGTGTCGCTATTCCCAAGACTTGTGAACGATGCTTAAAGACCTGAAGCACATGAGTATAACCACAACCCGTTCTTAATGAAGTCACGTAACAGACAAACACAGTAGTTATATGTTATTAAAACGTATACACAAGAACATTAAGGAGTCACACAACCTGGGAAGTCTTTTATTAAACAACAGTCACTTAACACAACACCACTACCATATCACTATCACCACTATCATCATCATCATCATCATCATCATCATCATTATCATCATCATCATCAT